ACGATGTAGTTTCCTTAAAAATGACATAAATTTGTGTTATTTAAAATAACAAACACTTTGTTTATCTTTTAAAAGATATAAGTCGCTTAATTATATAAGACATAAGTCCCAAAACACAAAAAGAGAAAATTGAGTTTGAAAAAATGGAAAAAAAGATATTTTTGAAAAAAAATCGAGTTTAAGTAAAAACTCGTGTTTCTACCATTTTTACGTTTCTACACTGTATTTTTACTAAGAAGAGTTTTTACTTACGTTTTAACATGTTTTTATACTGCGTTTCTACCATTTCTACGCTTTTACACTAATTTTCGACAACAATGCTCGTGTAATTTACTTTAAGCATTTTCTTTAGAAAGTTGAACATATACAATTAAGCATTTTATTTAATTTGAAAATTATTTAATATATATATATATATATATATATATATATATATATATATATATATAGTTGTATAAAGAGTGTATGTATATACACAGTTGTATAAAGAGTGTATGTATCACAATATATTATAACGAGAGATGTTAGCTACATATTTTATTTTATCTTTTGATATATCGGCCCTAATTATCTCTTTGAGGCTAGTCGCCCCCGAGGTATCTTCACAAGTTTCAACTTTTTGAGTCGGCTATAAGACTAATCTCGAGTTAGGGTTTAGTCATAGTTTAAACTCATTGCCCCTCCCCAAAGATGTATTTGATGAGAATCAAACACAGGTTATCTCTGCACTCTACTTACACATTCTTTAATTCTCCCTTTTTAACATTCACTACTAAAATATAAGATTTTTATTTTTTTTGGTATATTGATCCTAATTAGTTCTTTGAAGCGAGTCAGCCACTCGGATATCCCAAAAGTTTCAACTCTTTAAGCCGGCTGGATTAAAATGTTATTTGTGAATGATTTACAAATCGAAAAATAGTTTTCTGCATACCAGTTGCTTCAGTCGTAAACATCGACCGAAAATAAGACATGAAAAGTCATTATGTGCCTATTTGACCGGTCTTATTTTTAGTTTCTCTTCTTCTAATTAACTAGAAGCTTAGTTAAACATAATTTTGTAAAAAAAATTATCATAAAAGAGCTTTTTTATAATGAATAAAAAGAAAAAAAAGTTAAAAGCTCCGGCGAGAAGTTTCTGTTTTTTAATATGTATGTTAGTTTTTTAGTATCTTTATTTTATTTTCTAATTTTACAGTTTTTCTAGTTATCATTTATCCTAGTGATTTACTTAATAATGACAAATCATTTCATATTCTCACTTCAAATTTTTAAGAATATCATCAAAATTTTATATAATCATCAAATAATTTTTAATTTATTTTTTAAACTTTTTTTTTTACTTTAACTTCAGAATAACTTCAGGCTTATAAAAAGGATGTGTCAAACAAGCTTTATATCCGTCAAAATATTTTGGATCACATTGCCTTTATAAGGTGTGCTATATCTGTTTATGTTATCTACCGAGATCTTTCGCATAGATACATTCTTCCATGGAAATTAGGGGCATATTTGATTGTTTTTTTTTTTAAGAATTTTTTTTAAATAATTATTAGAAATTGTTTTTGAGAATAAAGGAAGAAGAAAAACTTAAGCTACTAGAATTGGTCTAGTGGCGAGGGGTTTGTGTAGTTTATATTAGATTATGTGTTCAATTTCCACAACTATATCAAAAAAGAAAAGAAAAAGAAGAAGAAAAAATTAAATATGTTTGATAATAGGGAAAAATGTTTTTGCAGTTAATGCAGATAAGTTATCTGCATTTATTCCCAAAACGATATCGTTTTGGTATTGAAATCTTAAAAAATTATAAATATAAAGACTATTATAACCTTGAATAAAGACTATTATAATCCTGAAATAAATTAAAATTACAAAAACACCATGATTTTTGCCTCAAAATGATGTCGTATTGAACTTACTGCTGATAATTTATCTACATTAACTACAGAAAAAGCGAACCTTGATAATATTGTTTCGAGAAGTTTTTACTATACCTGAATAACAATATCATTACTTCATAGCCAACTTTGTAAATGCTAAGTTTCACTCCTTAACCTCTTCAACAAGTTGAAGGTAATTCTTCATAGTCGTCAATCGTCATTGATTGAAATTTATCCAAATTAATGGCTATAAGACAAGGTGATCGCATGGACCACAAGTTAAGAAGATACATCTTATACATTGCACTCGAATAATCCATTTTTGTAATGAATTTTTTCATGTGAAAAAATCACAATCATATAAAAGTGAATCAGTAGTAATGATTTTGTAATTACCTATTTCAATATATATTTTTTCTCTTCCTTTATTACTATTGATCCACCCTTATATAATTATGATTCACCTATATAACCATGTCATGTTTTATTTAACATGTAAGAGGATTCGCTCCCTACATTTTTCATATTATATATCCATGCGATGCCTCGTGTTTGATCACGTCGATGGTACATATCACATTTTTGTATAAAGTTTCTTCCTATCCTTCTTTAACCTCCCTCCCTCTTTTCTCTTTCTCCAAAAAAAAACAATCCCTATCCACAGAAACTGCAAGGCAAGTGGACATTTTGGACCGCTCAAAATCATCATGCCCTTGTACACTGCAAAAACAACAATGTCAAAAAGCCCTAAAACCCTAGCCCAAACGTTAAAGTTATTTCAAAAGCAAATACGAACAAAACCAGCTGAAGCTTAGGGCTTAAGTTTCTCGTTGCGTGGCTTCTTTGAGAAGCTCACAATGACGTGTCGGTTGGTATATCTATAGAAAAATTCACAATTCTTAATGAAGGGTTATGCTACTGTGTGTTCGTGTCTTTTCTCCGTACCTGTTACTTCAATACTCCTAACCATTAGCATCATTCCACATCATATAATTTCAAAAAATTAACTGAGAAAAACGCCACACCAATGTGACTGTCTCCTGGTGATCCTATCAGCAGTGTAAATGATCAACAACTTCGGCAGCAAGTGTCATACACCAGATTAGAATCACTTGTAATTTAATAGAAAATAAGACGCTGATTGTGACATTCATGCACCTCTATTATAAACTGAGTGAAGATCAACACAAACACGTTGAAAAAGCATGAAAATTAGCTATTGTTTAAATATTATAGTTTCTTGTATATGAAATTTGGATACATTTTCATTGAAACCAGCACAAATACACTTGGAAAGAGTACATGTGCGTGAGTGAGTATGAAAGGAAAAGGAGAGAAAAATCTGATGGTTGACCCAAGTGCTAATATGAGCCATAATAAAAATCAACCACTAAAAGAGCAAATTCTAGAAAAAAACATTTGAGGTTAGAGCTGAATAATTGTACATGTATTCACTTGATTTAAGATTAGTCTTTATATCTGTATAGGCTCCAACTCGGATCACAAGGATATCAAAAGACTTGACACAAAGAGATAATTAAGGTATGCGTTAGAGAAGTATAAAAATAATTAATGTAGCTTCATTCAACAACTTAAATTTTTGGGTTGAATTGGTTCTTTACATTGTATCAAAGCCTCAATGTTACGGGTTCGATCCTCACCGACAACAGTCCTCATTCTCTTAATAAAAATAATTAATAATTAATTATTATGAATTTTCTTAATACAGATAGACTGAGCCTGATGCATCATCTACCCTTTAATCCCAATGGACCCTTATATGAGAGAGCATGTTAGAAAAATATAAAGACCATTAATGTAGTCTCACCTAACACCTTAAGTTTTTGAGTTGAATAAATTATGTACAATATGGAATAAATAAAAGAGAGAGAGATCCCTGACTTTGAAATAAGAATTCTACGTGAAGAAAGGGTTTAAAAGGGAATATACAATGTTTTTGTTGTTTGGTGCAAAGATGTGTACATAAATCATAAATGTATTACTTATGTTACATTCTTTGTCGGTTCGTATGTACACGTCTGATGTCTCCGGAATTTTTACATAGCTTTAAGGACACTCTAATTTGACACTGCAGCTGAACTCCCAACACACGCACACATACTCTCTCTATGAAGAGGTAAAACGTCCTAAGAAGAATCAGGTTGCCCCATCTCCACTCTTACCCACCACCCTTTTTTACTTTTTTTTTTTTTTTATTCTTATTAACTTAGGGTTTTCATTAATATAATTAGAGTTAATCTTTCAAGTATATATATATATATATATATATATATATATATATATATATATATATATATAAATATAAGCAAAATGATTTGTAATGTGACTGCATATAAGTATTGGTGCAGTCACTTAAAAACTACGTCGTTTTTGTTGGGATAAAGGAAGTTCGTGTTCAAAATTAATTATAGAAAATAAAAATATTATATTATTTTCACCTTTGTATGATTATGATTCTCCATATTTAATGTTTTATATTTATTTCCGTCTTTGTATGGTTATGATTCCCTATATTTAATACTTTCACACTATAAAATGACGTAGTTTTATATGACTGATGTATGATTATGATTCTCCATATTTAATGCTTCACGTACAGCAACGACAGATAGTTATAATTCCCATATTTAATGCTTTAATCATTTGTATGGTTATGATTCTCCGCATTTAATGCTTTCAAGTATATATATGACAAGTATTTAATTGTTACACGTACAACAGCTGCAGAAATGTAAACCCCTATATATATATATATATATGGAGAATGATCTATTTAATTTTTTTTTTACAAATTGCACCGAGAGAACATAATATAACTTAGTATTCTCCCGAAAGAACATAATGTAATTTGTAAGAATTTGTAAATAAAAAATCTATAAATATAACGATAGTATATAACAATGACAACCTTTTAATTCCCTAAGCCAAGAGTGCAAATGCATTTATTCCTTGACATAACCGTATATACGGGGACACAAGCAAACTTGTCGTCCAAGCATACTTTCCTATATGTAGAACCCACTTTTAAGTCCCACCTTTCCTTTATCTGTTATCCTCTCTCTCTCTCTCTCTCAAGAAGTTGGCGCAGTGCAAGCAGTTTGGAAAACCAAACACTCAGAGAATACAGATAAGGAAAATTATTAAGTGGGAGACTGATAGGCATGAATTCGCTCCCTATCAGCAACAAGAGGTGATTCAGGAAAAACATGTTCCAAAAGAGACAGGCTACTAACTTTAACTTTTTTCTTTTCTTTTCTTCTCTGTTATTCTTTAGTTTTATTTATTTATTTTTTGGTTTTATTATTAGGGGCTTGATATTGTAGGGAGGTGAAGGAAGGTTCTGTACTTCTGTTTTGAGATATATAGGCATATAGGTGCAGAAACACAAAGAGATGACATGGTGCAATATTGACTCAGATGAGGAGAGGGGCATTGAACATATCACGCCCACTATTATTCCCAGAACTAATAACACTGTTGTTACTGATGCAAAACCAACCGAAATTCGAACCATAACTTGTCCCTCATGTGGCCATAACATTGAATTCCAAGATCAGGTAGTACTGAAGTAAAGGTTTTGATTCACCAACTGGTGTTTTTGCTTTTATCTTATAAAACCTCTTTTTGGTTTATGCTGAAAACCTCAATTTTATTTTTTATTTATTTGTTTCTTTATTTCTTTTGGTTGTGTGTGAATTAATAGGCTGGAATCAATGACTTGCCGGGTTTACCAGCTGGGGTGAAGTTTGATCCGACTGACCAGGAGATACTAGAGCATTTGGAAGCAAAGGTGCTTTCTGATGTTCCCAATCTCCATCCCCTTATTGATGAGTTCATACCAACGCTTGAAGGGGAGAATGGGATCTGTTATACACACCCAGAAAAGCTACCAGGTGTTTGATATTTTATTTTTCTTTCATTTTTTTTTTTTTTTTATTCTTTGTTTGATGGTTTGGAAATACCGTTTAATGCTTAATTAGGTCATACTCATCAATGAAATCCTAATTAACTGGGAGACATATCAGATTGATGTACTTGGTTCCACTTCATGAAACGAGGTTTTAATGATGAAAATGATTTTTCTAAAAGAAATTAAGGCAGTTGAGAATGACTGCCAACACATTTATACTCTCTACAAATGAGATGGATAATATATATTATGGGAAACTATTGTTGGTTTTAAAATTCCAAGCTTGGATTTTTATTTTTATTTTTTGAGATTTCTCTATCGGTTCATTGATTAATTGATTAATTTGGTCGAGACAACTGGTTACGATAAAACAACTCATCTCTAGTTGATTCACATATACTTGGTGTTCCTTCTTGAGCTTGGATACCCTTTTAGACATACTTGTTATGGTAGAGATTCTAAAAATAATAGAAAAGGGGGAGGGGCTTGGTTTGTGAAAATTAGGAGAGAAAATAAGATATTTTACCAGTCCAAGAAATAATCTCTCTTTTGGTCAGTCTTTCTTGCATTTGTAACGTAGCAAAGAAAAGTTTTTGTCCACTAGAGGGTATGTTGGAGATGTTATCCTCGAAGAAATTGAGAAGCATATGGGAGGTGTAATCACATCATTTAACCAACTCGTTCAAGTATGTTACAAGGAAATACTTTATTTGAGTCGTCAATGTCTCAATGACTACCAAACTCAATGGTGGCTTCTTATCTTACATTGCCATGTAGCAAGTGATATGCAATTGTCAATTAGTCCTTAATCTTGAGCAGTAATATTTCTATTCTACATCAAAATTTAACATTATACCAATTTGTCGTCAAGTTCCATCAACTTAAAAAAGGGGTTGTTGCCTTGTTAATTACACTTAATGAGGGATATAATCCTTAGATTATTTGATGAGGTTAAACCACTAAACATTAATCACTTCTTTAAAATTCTTCATTGATTGTTCTCTGTAACAGTAAATCTTACAAGGTAACTGTTAATAAAGATCAAAAGGGGAAAAAAAGGAGGGAAGAACAAACCTAAGTCTTGGAGAAGCAATTATTCTTTTTAGCCTTTCATATCTTCACCAACAAGCCAATTATGTACTCAATCTAGAGCTCGCAATTTATATGCATCATTACATGCGTGTGCATGTGGAAGAAAGATCCTTCGGACTACAAGCACCACCTGTCCTTATACATACATTGATGATTCACCATATAAGTCCATAACTCTCTCTCTCTCTCTCTCTCTAGGCGTTTTGCATTCTTCCTTATATTATGGAAATATTATATTTACAAACTTTTTATTTATAAACTCTTACAAACTACACTAAGTATAACCGATCATACTTCAATCAAGAGTGTATGACCGGTCATACTTAGTATAATTTGTAAAAAAAAATTGTAAAACGGATCCTTACCCTTATATTATTTAGTCCCTTTTCCCTATATGTCCATTTATGCATAAATCTTCCAAAGAATCAAAGATATATTTAATATGATTCTGTGAAATGATGTAGGAGTAAGCAAAGATGGACAGATCCGCCACTTCTTTCATAGGCCTTCTAAAGCATACACAACAGGAACAAGGAAAAGAAGAAAGGTTCACACTGATGAAGAAGGAAGTGAGACAAGGTGGCACAAAACAGGAAAAACTAGACCAGTTTTTGTTGGTGGGGCCGTGAAGGGTTTCAAAAAGATACTAGTCCTCTACACCAACTATGGGAGGCAAAAGAAGCCTGAGAAGACTAATTGGGTGATGCATCAATACCATCTTGGCAGTAATGAAGAAGAGAAAGATGGAGAATTAGTGGCTTCAAAAGTCTTCTACCAAACACAACCTCGACAATGTGGTAATTCCATTATAAAGGATCCTTATGAGAAAAGAATAACTCACCACCGAAGTGTCCATGATGATAGTATAATGCCTAAAAATGCAGCTCTTGGGGATTACTATAATCCTCCTTTCATAAATTATGACCATGTGGGACATAATAGGGAAAGCTCACCTCAACTTATTCCAAACTTGGTTGTGCAAGGTGATAGCTCTTCTTTTATTCGATTAGCAATGGATGCAAACAAAGCCAGGCTTGACAGAAAATAGCTCTGCCACTTCTTGGTGTAGAGCAATTGTGACAATGACTATATATAAGACGTTGATGGTTTTATTTATTACTATATATAACACAGTATTTATTCTATGTATGGGATTAGCTAGAATGAAGGAAACCAAAGTTGAAGATGACTTCCATATTGGGATATATCATATATATCAAGGACTTATCCATAATTGACCCTGGTTGAAGTTGAGAGGCATGCAAGGTCTGTTCCGGTACTGTGGTTTTATATTAATTTTTATGTACAGGTAAACTCATAAAGTCTTTCCCATGTGATGAGTCACTATGTCAAACTATACTGTTTAAATGTTTTTACATAGAAAATCTTTTTTCTTTTTTCTTTCTTCTTTTTTATTTTGCTCTGAATAAATGACAGAGATGGTTGTTATTATATACCTCTACAACTTCACTAGGAACGTTATCCACTAAGGTTTTGGTCGTTTATTCTGTACAAACTTTACATGATATTTTTGTTTTTTCACACATGATTTTGATTGTGAGTTCTTCTACATGTAGATTTGTGCTGATTTCGTGTTCATTACGAAGCCCTTTATATATTTTCTTTCATTTGATGAAACGGAAGCCTTCATATATATCTCTTTACAAACATTTACATTTTTTTTATACCAGCCTAAATTTATTAGAGTACAGAAAGTTTCCTTTTTCTTTTTTACAAATATTTACATACAATTTAATAGCTCTGTACTTTTTTGTTTCGTATAATAATGGTAATAAGATTTTCACTTATAATGACTTGATTATACGGATAATAAATTACATGTTCTTTTTTTGTTTTGGTAAACAAATTCCATGTTCTTAACTCTTAAGAAAGAAGTACATATAGCTATACTTTATCATATTTATTTATCATACATGCAAAGGAGAAATATATCGAAACAAAAAAAAAACAATTACCAAGTACCTTTATATCAATTTTTGTATAGTTCCAAATATACCACATCTAATGTTTTGTTCTTATATTGATTATTAATAGGTTGTGGCAAAATCTATTGATTGATCACTATTAATTTAGGGAAATAGAAGTATCATGTTGTAGGAATATGGCTATGTCATACTATAGACACAATCAATATGGACTCCATTTTGTTCTTCTATTTCCCATTAATTTATGGATTTCATATTTATGTAATATTGTATAGAGTTATATTTATCTCATTTTACATGAGAGAAACAATTTTTCTGCACACACAAAAGAGGGGTGGTCCCACCACTCCTTTTTTTCTCTCTCCTCTTACCATTGAGTCCCACTTATAATTTTATTTCTACAACATAAGATAACTATTTTCCTACAAAATAAGAAAAATATTTCCCTATTGTAAATTAGGTTGCATGACCTATGTTTGATTCTTTACCAGGAACTGAATGTGAATACTTACATTTAATTTCTTACTAATGTATGATTTACGAAAAAATTTATAATGATAAGTTGGTTTGTGAATGTATGCAACATATTTAATTTTTTATTTCATTAAAGAAATTTTATTTTAGTTTTTGCATATAATTTTTCATGATTATATGCTTTTAATTGCTAGCATGTTAATGTTTCTAGTTAGTTTATTATAATTTGTATTTATAAATATTTTGTAATGATATATTACTTTTATAAATTAAATATATGAAATTATATATATATATATATATATATACAATTTTTGTTTTTCGGGTTAAAAAAATTAATTTATTTGTATATTTCTTCGTGATTTTTTACTGTTAATTAAATGTTTTGAACTGTAATTTTGTTTCACATGTTATTCATAAATTAGAAAACTTCCATATATGGAGATATTGATATTCATCAACGTCGGTATTTGCATACAATTTTTCATGATTATATGCTTTTAATTGCTAGCATATTAATGTTTCTAGTTAGTTTATTATAATTTGTAATTTTAAATATTTTTATAATAATGTGTTGCATAAACGGACCAAGGGGGAGGGGCTAGGGTTAGCCACCGTCCCTCCCCAAATTACATAAATTTTTGTGTTACATAATAAATAATAATGCACATGATGTTTTAAATTCTTTTGTTCTAATCACAAAACTAATCATTATATAGCATGAAAAACTTTATTTATCGAAATAATTATTATTTAAGATTTTGTACAAAAAAAATGATTAAATACTCATAATTACAATATATATATGAGGCAGGATCCTTTGACACCGGTGTCAAATTTAAAGTTTGACATTTTATCTGAGAGCCGTTAGATAAAAAAAGATCAACGACTCTGATTTGTAAGCATGTGATACCGTTGATCTTTTTTTATCTAACGGCTCTCAGATGAGGTGTCAAACTTCAAATTTGACACCGGTGTCAAAGGATCCTACCTCTATATATATAGGGATTAGTAATTTTAATAGAAATTTGACAGGATCATGCCCATATATATATATATATATAGGGCTTATCGTTTCTCAAGCTGCTTGAGATAATCTTATCTCGGGCTACTAAATTATAATCGTACAAAGATCAATGGTGATAAAGGAAGAGAGAGAAAAAAGGAATCATAACCATTCAAAGGTGAATCAATTAATATAAGGAAAAAAATAAATAAAGCGACGTAGTTTTGAGATAGCTGGAGATAAACTTATCTCAAGCTGTTTGAAAAATGTTTTTCCCATATATATATATGGGTCAATATTTCTCCAGCCACTTGAGATAAGCTTATCTCAAGCTACCCCTTTTAACTATGTACTACAGATAGTATATAGTTATAATGTTAAAGTTGTTTTTTCCTCTCTCCTTAGTCACTTATTAGAACTTGTCTGCTAACGTTGAAAGAGAGAAAAAAAACAACTTTAACATTATAACTATGTACTACTCGGAGTACATAGTTAAAAGGGATAACTTGAGATAAGTTTATCTCAAATAACCGAAGAATATATATATATATATATATATATATATATATATATATATATATATATTTTTATACATTGCAAACAGATCACAATGGGTGAGTTTAGCTACTCCCTTAATTATGATGTTGCTTATTGGGTGTGTTTATTGATGTTAAGGTTTGGATTTACGGGTTATTTTCTTTTTCCACAATTTGTTTGTTCAAATGCCAATTTTAGGTAAACCAATTTCTTGGTGATTCTTTTGATTACATATATTGAAAAAGATATTGTTTTGAATTTTAGCACATATTTAATTTCAAAAGAGTTTACCGATACGAGAAAATGTAGAACAAGAGTTAAGAGAACTACCCCTGAATCTTGTAATAATATTCTTTCAAGCTTTTTATATTAGGTTCATGGTTTTCAAACTCGAGATTCTATGCAAACTCGGAAGGGTGAACCAAAATCGTAAATCGCAGAATCGTAACACGGATCGTAGACTCGTAACACAAGATACAAATTATAATTATATATATTTATATGCATATAAAGTAATATAATAAGCAAATTTAATTCAACCAACCAGCAAAATAATGTCATGCAATAGTCATAATCACATAATGTCTCAGACACATAAAGTCATAGCACAAAAGATCAAAATCCAAAATAATATATCAATCAAATCTCAAAGGAATGATGGAATGTCATAATCATCCTCTGCCCCATCATCTTCATCACCATCTTCATTATTTCCTTCATCTTCATCTCCATCATCTTGCATGATGTCTTCTCCACCTTCCCCACCAAGTTCAGAACCACCATCATCTTCAGGTATCATCATCAAAGCATCTTCATCTGTAGCATCTAAGTTAAATTCAGGAATATCCAAATCATCTATATCTTCAATGTTGGATGGACTTCCCTCATTTTCCACAATCCATTCATCATCAGATGAAAGATCATCTATGCTATAAGACTCATGCTCTTGCCCAACACTTTTTTTGCGTTCCTTCTTCTTGGCCAATTTTAAATTGGCCATCACAAATACAAGATCATTCATTTTCTTATGTTTCAGGCGATTTCTTTTCTTGGTATGGACCTAAACAAATATAAAACCCAATGAATATATAGCAATTAGCAAGTAATAGGTAGTGATTTTAAATTTTAACTATAAAATACAAATCATTTACCATCTCAAAAGCACTCCAGTTACGGTCACACCCAGACGAACTGCATGTCAAGCTTAATATACGAATGGCAAATCTTTGTAACTCTGGATGCTGAAATCCATAAGATTCCCACCATTGTGCTGGAGTCTTTATTTTCAAGCCTTCTAGAGCTATTGAACTACCAAAAACCTCTTCTTGCAGCTTGAAAATTTCAATTTGCTTATCAATATGACTTCTTTCTTCAATACTTGTTGTCATCCTATCCAAACACTCATATAGTCCATGCATAACTTCAAAATCAGCTTTAAAATTAGGACATAATGAAGTTGAGGATTAAGGTAATAGCCTGCAGCATGCAAAGGTCTATGGAGTTGTCGATCCCATCTATTATCAATAATTGTCCATAGAGGCATATATGTAAGGTGGGAACAAATTGAGTTAGTTTTAAAACAAAGGCTACAAATTACAAGGTTCTTTTGCTTTAAATTCATAATTACCTGCTTTCGACGCCTCTGAGATCGCTTCGAATAGTTTCTTTTGCTTTATCCATTGCTTCATAAATGTATCCCATGGTTGGTTTTTCATCAGAATCAACCATACGAAGCACTTTGATTTACGGAAAAGCACCCCTCAAGCAATTGACAAGGTTCTTCCAAAACTTCTTGTCTATAACCACATCCTCAATATATTTCCCATCCTTTGATTTTGCACACTGGCTAGACTGCCATTTCTCTGAAGTGAACATTCTTTGCAATGATCCTTTGTTTTCACCTAGGAAATCCAATGTCAGATATGATGTGGCAAAGCGAGTCATGCCTGGCCTCACCAAATCCTTTCCTTTTTTAAAATGTTGTAATAAACAAATTAAGGAAGTCCTTGAATATATATAAGTAGTAATTTTTCTCCCTTTTGCAATGGTATCTTTATGCATTGGTATGCCCTCAAGATCTTCCAACATCAAATCAATGCAGTGAGCGGCACAAGGTGTCCAACACAAATGTAATCTTTTTTCCATCAACAACCTTCTAACAGCTTTGTAATTGGCAGCATTGCCAGACACAACTTGAATAACATTTTCTTCTCCCACCTCATTAATAATTTCTTCAAGCATAGCAACAATGGCTTCAGCGGTTTTTGATATATGAGAGGCATCAATAGACTTCAAAAAAATTGTTCCTTTTGGCTATTTACCAAGAAGTTTATTAATATCC